TATTGTCAAATTTAGCAAGCTATTAGATTAATTGGTGTATGTTCGTTAAGTAAGAGTTTTAGCCAATCATAAATGTCCATGTATGCGTACAGTCTGGATTAAAAAAAAGACTTTTAGACCTTTCTGGATCGGTCACTCATTGGAATTCTGTCGGTACTTTCTATTCATAAGTATTAGTATTATTATTTAAATAAAAGGAAAATAATGGAACCCATCCTTAACGGGTTTCTCTGAATCTATCGTACAGATTTCACAAGCCAATGAGCTGATCTTCACAAGCCATCGAGATAATCTTCACATGTCAATGAGATAATCACAAACCAAAGAGCAGATCTTCAACGATTAGAGTGCCAAAAGACAGCCCACTATTTTCTAATTACAGGCGGTTTCCTGCCATAGGAGTCATTACCATCAAAAATACATAGCCGAGTTGTGAGTATATGCGTCAAATATAGAATCGGAATATCATAAATCATGCTTTGAGCGTGATCGTTCTCATTTTACAGACTATATTTTTTTTCGGATTCTTTTCATTTTTGGCCTGCATGTTCATTATAATGCTAAAATGATGGCTATTTATATTCAATGTGATCGGGTGGATTTTAAGCTCGGGACTTACCGATGATTTGGACGGGTATAATTTGGTACTAATTCCACAGACTACGGTTTTTGCAGTTTGATACTACGAGCAATGCCTTTTGAAAATGTTCGTAGGCAGATATAAAGGCAATGATCCGAAACTTGGTTTTCGCTGAATGAAAGCATTTCATCTGACATACAATGACCAAGCTGAGTATGTATGTTTCAAACTAATGGTTATCTCTGTCAATTTTGATGATTCATATGGGAGTAGATGATACAGAGTGTAGATGTTTTAGTTGCTAAAGCAATAATTTAGAAGACCATAATGTCATCTATTGACATCAGGTATTATCAGAGTAACAAACCCTTCCTAGTTATACTACGTCCAAGTTCAGATATGCTCTTCAACAGTCCTTTTAACAGTATTATGTTTATTCCAGTCACATTGGTGTTGATGCGTGTGTACCAAGTAGAGAAATGCGATTGGTGAGGTCCAGATCACTCACTTCTCAAGATAAACGGAATATTTCCAGTAGAGCTCGTCAGAAACACACTGTTTCTGATCGCAAGATCATCATTTCAAACGGCCTTGGAAACGGGTAAGTAGCAAACCTAGAGAATGTAAAGAATATATGTCTGGCCAAATCTGCTTTGACCGATATTTCTAGTATATGGGAAAACGTCGAGGTTATAGTTAATAGAAATTCGGTCAACCCTTATGACAATATATATTCTTCATAGATTTGCAGACAGTTTCAGTGGCACCATCATACATACAAACTGCTAATATGTATCAAAACCTTTTAAATCAGTATCAAAATTACGCAATCATGATGACAATCCTGAAAGACCTTAAAGGGATTGTAAAGAGGTTTTCTAAAATTTGTATGTGAATTTAGTGGAATTGCAAAAACCACAGATGTCGGAATGAAAATTGGAATGTTGCAAATTGATGGTGTCAGCGTCCGTTATACACAAAAGAAGTTTAAAAACCTCTTTACAATCCCTTTAAGATATAGCTTGTCAATTTCTAGCCTATATAATAATTTGTCTAATCTACAACTGTTAAAATTATATTTAAATATTTTTTCATCAGTTACCTCCCTTGAACTATTAAAATTGGTCGGTCAAGGCAATTATTATTTGTTTCTACCTTTTCATTGTCATGTTCGTAGTCAAATACGTAGACAGTACACAGTACTACACCGTATGTTAAGCAACAGTGGCGGGTGGGGCCTCAGACAGGATATGCTTACTCTTTTTGACACCTGAGACCACTTTTCGTTAGGATTCTGGGTCTCGTTTTGCTGTTCGGATCGTTAGTTCTTTGTTTATTTATTTATACATAGTAATGAATCCCGATTAGCATAAGACAACAGGACGAATCCGATGTGCTTAGAGTACATGATAATGTTAAGGGTAGACTACTATCTCGTTGGATGACCAAAAAATGGAAACTTGGTTTATTAAATGAGTCTTTTGTTCAAAAACCTATTCATTAAACTTAGTAATTTTGAAATTACTTAGAAGCGTGTTTCAATAATTATTTAGTTTGATGGATATAGCCTATCTGATATAAAGATTATATATTCCATAGTCCTTGCACCTGGTAAGTCAAACTAATAAATATATACAAACCCTAGGCAGGTGCTTTTTTGGATTTGAGATAGCAAAATACGGTTTGTTTTGATCATCTAATCTCGGAACATTGTGTGATAATAGGCATCATGACCTATTTATATTTGTTCATCTTTCAGTGCATCACCTATGGATATTGTATGAAATCTTCATGGTTAAAAGTTTCTACTCCGGTTATTTTGGAAATTTTGGTATAATTACCAAGCCAACGTACTTGTCGACGTATAGCACAGTTAGATGTTTATTTTATTCACATTAGCCGTGTTCACACTAACATTTTAAAGCTTTAGAGTCACACTGAAACCGCTTTGAACCGATCTGAAACCGCTCGAACGTAACCCCCTTTCAAACCGGGTTGCAATGGTTTATACCGGGTTATAGCGCTGTCAGTGTGACGCGTTTTGTATCGCATCGCTTCAAGATGCAGTGTGACGCTACCAAATTGAATAGGCTATATAACGAAAACCAATTCCGGGGATCACTTTCCGGAAATCGGTTTGGTATCACTTCCAGTGTGAACTCAGCTATTGTAGTACACGTTAATAGACGTATGGTTATTGTCAACATCGTGTTATCTCAATTATAAGAATAGACTACAGCACTAAAAAAAGGGTGAAATCCTTTCCAATCACAAGTCAGTCTTTGACAAATTCCTACTGGATAAGCGAATTTTGAATGTTTTTGTGTCGTAATGGATTCCTATGTTGCACAAAACTCCCTTACGTGAATCCTTACGTTTTTGAGCGAAAATATTCAGCCCTGTCGTTTTCTAAATCATTAACATCCAGTTTACGACTGTGCTTTCAAATATATTGTGATACTGTTTAGTCTTTAGTTAGTAGAGGTGAGAATCAAATGTGGATTATTAAATTTTCTAAAGAATTTCTTCAATATTAACAAGCTAAATCTCTTCCATCAATTCATTCTATTAAAACTTATGATTTCTCTACTTTATATACAACTATTCTTCATTCACAATTAAAATCTAGATTACGGGATAGGCTAAATTATACCAGTCCTTTATATCTAAAACAGGAAACAGACGACATAAAGACATTTTTGTTAATTATTACTTAACTTATTTTGACAAAAACAACTATGATGCTATCAAGTGAAGACGATGTTGCTAAAATGTTGAATTTTTCTATTCTTATGAGGTGTATTACAATGGTGGAATTTTATCACTCGCTTAGCTTTGATTACGTTCACTGAAAAGAATGACAGAAAGTTTTTAAAATTTCCAGTTAATTCTGCTCATTGCTTAAATAGACTTTTTGGTCCAGGATCAAGTTCGTAATAGCTTGGCATTGTGAACATGTTCCATCCGTAGACTTATAATAGTAGTTGCCATTTGATATTTGTGACGCTTCAGATTCCTGTGGGTTGCTATAAATTAAATATAATTTCTGATTATTGCCGTGTATGTTCTGTAATAATGGAGCACCACAAGAGCAATGTTTTTTGTTGAGTTTCTAATACATGTAATCACTTTCTGTGCATTAGAAATGTATATTGTTTAAATAAATAGTTATAAATACGATCGACTTGATTATTTTTCCATGTCAGCCCCACCGACAAGCTCAAACGTTGTTAAAGGGACAGATTTGCCATTCGTTTGACGACCAACTTAATTTTAGTCTCAGAAACGAGAATTTTTTAAGTTATGCTAATCAGTAATAGTGTTCTAATCATACATGCGTGGAATAGACAATTTCTTTGGCGGAAGAAATTCAAGCTGTCCTACAAAGCTTTCACTAGGTTTCGTTTTGTTTCGTTGTTCTCTTTTCATTTTCATACTATCAATTTTTGCACAGTCTGCAAGGCATTCTTGATAGCTATCTCTTATCTGTCTTATTGTATTGTATTTTGTATTTGCACTAATCAAACCTTCAATTTCAGTTAAAATGGTCTCTTCCCAACAATCCACCAAGGTTAGCTATGCCGATATTGCGAGTCGGCCAGCTGCTACCATGCAACCCAGGGTAGCAAGGCCGGAATATTCCAATATCGTGATAGTGAAGCCATGCGGGGGCAAAACTTTCGGCAGCACGAAGTCGAAGGTTATCGACGACTTAATCCGGAAAGAGTGGAAGTATAGGTTTTTTTTTTTTCTTTTTTTTTTACACTCAGAGTCCGTTCAAGGCATCTACAGCACTCTACTAGGCAATAACACAAGCTTGGATCCCTAACATTAAAATGTTTTTGCCATTGACTAACATTATTTACATATAATTTAAAACTTACTTTAAAAACATATAGACAGATAGTGTTAGTATTGTTAGTCAGAAGGGGTGCAGTGATTAAAAGCCTAAAACTATATACATGACAATAACAAGGTTCTTATGACTGATTTATCCAAGCTTATGCCTCATCACAGTGTACTTTTCTTTTGCTTTTATTAACAACATATATACAAGAATTTACATGAAAAATATCCAGCAACACAGAGAAAAAGAGAGATATATATATATACATAAATTAAATTAGAGGAGAAGGAATGAAAAATGAAAGCAAAAATATTGTATGCATTATATTCGGAAATATACATTTTAAGTTGAATTTTTGAATTTTGAAATTTTTTGTGTTAATTTTTAAATTTTTGAATTTTGTTTTAGGATTTGCCAATATGAAATTATTCTAGAGTTTTTTGCCAAATATTAAGAAATTAGAGCCAAGAATAAAATATTAATATGACAAAACAAGTTTGCAGAGTTAAATTTAGTTACAAAAATAGAATAGGATAAGTGAAAGATAGAGATATAAGAAAATGTACAATACAATTAAAAACATAAAAAACTACTATTTGTAGGTAATAATATACATAAAAACATTAATACAGAATGAAAACAGAACAATCTACTATCTGTAGGTAATAATATACATATAAACATAAATACAGAATGAAAACAGAACAATCTACTATTTGTAAGTAATAATATACATATAAACATAAATACAGAATGAAAACAGAACAATCTACTATTTGTAGGTAATAATATACATAAAAACATAAATACAGAATAAAAACAGAACAATCTACTATCTGTAGGTAATAATATACATATAAACATAAATACAGAATGAAAACAGAACAATCTACTATTTGTAGGTAATAATATACATATAAACATAAATACAGAATGAAAACAGAACAATCTACTATCTGTAGGTAATAATATACATATAAACATAAATACAGAATAAAAACAGAACAATCTACTATCTGTAGGTAATAATATACATATAAACATAAATACAGAATGAAAACAGAACAATCTACTATTTGTAGGTAATAATATACATATAAACATAAATACAGAATGAAAACAGAACAATCTACTATTTGTAGGTAATAATATACATATAAACATAAATACAGAATGAAAACAGAACAATCTACTATCTGTAGGTAATAATATACATATAAACATAAATACAGAATGAAAACAGAACAGTCTACTATCTGTAGACATAACAAGCTCACATCAAAAGGGAAAATAGGTAGGAAAAAAAAAAAAAAAAAAAAATAATGGTAATTATCTACTACCTGTAGACAAGAGAAACACATGCCGAATTATTTTAAAATCTTACCTATAATTTATGCTGAAAAAGGATAGGTGGTGCTGTGCTGAAAGAAGAAGGATGAAAAGTTTAAAGTTTTTATAAAATCGGTAAATTAGTTCGTCGTTTAGAAGTGCAGTGTTTAATTTCCTATTTTGCCAGACAGTGAAAGTGAAAGTATAGATAAAAGGAAAGAATTTTGGGTCAGTGTTAAGAAATAAAGAAGTTTCAGAGATAGAGAGTGTGGAGGTACAGAGAAAGTTATTTATAAAAGTATTTACAAAGTGGCGGAATGGTTCGATGGCTGTACAATTTAAAAACATATGCTGTAATGTTTCTACCCCATATTTACAGTAATTACAAGTTGTAATAAGGTGCCTTAAACGTGCTGATAAAACTTTCTTTGTGGGGTGCGCATCATGCAGAGAGAGAAATAGGAAATCTTTTTCTTTACTAGAGTGTATTGTTGATAAATTTTTCCAAGTTTGTTTGAAATCTATGAAGGAGTGCATAGTAACAGTTTTTAAATTAACAGTGCGTGTGGCAAGAAGTGCTTGATATATCTGTTTGCATTTTTTCAAATTTCTAAGGTTAAAGTTGTGATCTTTTTGAATTTTGAGTGGTATTTTGAATTTTGAAGGGTAGTATAAAGTATGTGAATGTGCCAAATTGAAATCAATAGTATTTTTAAGAGGAATTCCGAGCCAATAATTAAAGAGTGACACCCACGGATTTTGATTGTCAATTATGACTTGGGATATTTGTTGAAATTGGATTGCCAAAACTTTTAGGTCTAAATTAGGGATCCCAAGTCCACCTTGTTCAGGATTTAAATGAAGGGTGTCACGTTTGATGAGTTCAAAGTTGTTATTCCATAGAAATTTGAAAATCGCAGAGTTTATTTGTTTCAGTGCGGACTTGGATGGTGGGACAATTCTTGAAAGGTACACGAACAGACTAATGATATAAGTATTAATAACAATTAGTTTTTCCCTGAAACTGAGTTGTCTGTCTGTCCACCTTAAAGCCATACTTAAAGTCTTCGCCGCTATTATATCCCAGTTTTTCCCAGTCTGACCCTTACCAAACCAAATACCTAACAATTTTATGACGTCGCGGATCGAATGTTGATTTTGAACGGGTATAAAGTTCCTGGAATTGTTCATACACAATATTTCGGTTTTCTCTACATTTAATTTGGACCCTGATACCTTACTAAATCTATCAAATTCCTGTAATATCAAGCCAAATGATTGTTTCGAAGTGGTAATAGAAGATAAATCATCCGCGTGTTGAAATATTTTAATTTCTCGACTGAAATTAGGGACCTTAATACCTTTAATTCCATCATTGTTCTGAATATAAACTGCGAACGGATGAATTGCAATGGAGAATAGTGCCATGCTGAGAGGGCAACCCTGTCGGACACCTCTGGCTATGACGATATCACCAGTGAAGGCACCTGAAACCTCAACCTTACTAGTGATATCTTTGTAGAGTATGCTTACCCATCTGATGAAATATTGTGGAAAATTTAGATATTCTAATAAAATGATAATGTAGTTAATCTCGATTCTGTCAAATGCTTTTTCTTGGTCAAAAGTAGAAAGATTAGAAGGAATGTTTTTCTGATTGATATAAAGAAGAAGATAATCAATGGATAGTAGATTGTTGATAATAGTCTTGTCCTCCCCCGCCCCAGTCTGAATGTCATACACAATAGAATTAATCACCCTCTTAAGTCGCTTAGCCAGTATCTTAGTAATAATCTTATAGTCAGAGCAGAGAAGAGAAATAGGGCGATAGTTTTTGAGTAGTCTTGTCTGTCCTTTCCCCTTATACGCCAAAGTAATAACCCCCTCCCTCATAGTTTTAGATAATTCCCCTTGAAAATAAATATTATTGTAAAGTTCACACATAACATCCCCTAAAATGTCCCAATTTTCTTCATAAAAAGCCTTACTTAAACCGTCAACCCCCGGAGTTTTACCATTCTTGAAGTCCTTTATTGCCGCCAAAATTTCATCTTTCGAGAAAAAAGGGTCGCTGATGAGGGATAGATCAGTGTCAGTGAGGGGTGTAAGTGGACAGTTTGAAAGATAATTGTGAATGTCGTGTTCTTTTACATGCTGTGAAGTGTAGAGTGTTCTGTAAAAGTCATGAATTATGTTAAGAATTATAATAGTAGTTGCCATTTGATATTTGTGACGCTTCAGATTCCTGTGGGTTGCTATAAATTAAATATAATTTCTGATTATTGCCGTGTATGTTCTGTAATAATGGAGCACCACAAGAGCAATGTTTTTTGTTGAGTTTCTAATACATGTAATCACTTTCTGTGCATTAGAAATGTATATTGTTTAAATAAATAGTTATAAATACGATCGACTTGATTATTTTTCCATGTCAGCCCCACCGACAAGCTCAAACGTTGTTAAAGGGACAGATTTGCCATTCGTTTGACCAACTTAATTTTAGTCTCAGAAACGATAATTTTTTTAGTTATGCTAATCAGTAATAGTGTTCTAATCATACATGCGTGGTATTTAGATAAATTCCTAGTTGTATATGACGTAGCCATTTCCCGAATTGTCGGAGTGATAACCACTCCAGCAACTCCGCACAGTGCCCTTCGTTCCTATCCAGAAGAGCAGAGATAAGGATCCAGCACACCTACAAGGTATCCTTACAAGAAGCTCGCCATCACGTCTCGGCCAACACGGTGCCCGCTGCCCCCCAAGCCCGTGGTCGAATGTCCCAAAGCTGCCCCGGCTCAAACTCCGAAAGGATTCACGCCGGAGTTCAAGGATGAGTCTAAATTTTTTGATTTCTGTTGCAGGTTGGTTGCAGTTGCAATCAGTTCCAGAACCAAGGCTGGTGAAATTAATCCAAAAGACGTCATGGACGCAGTAGCCAAAGTATGTGCCGACCACGTCACAAACCAACAACCACCAAACAAGGATACCAAACCAAAGAGGAAGAGATCCAGCACGGATGTTCCGGATGTTCCAAGAAAAGTAAAGGCGGTATCCACGAGTGGCCAACCTCGTCAGTCAAGGAGCATCTGCAGAAGTACAGACTCCAGACCCGTGACTGAGCGCTCTAGAAGCACTTCGCTAGCTAGACCACTGCCCACTGGCTCAGTAACGGAAATGGACGTAGAGGTTTTTTACGGCACCCCAAACCCCATGCTAAAACCATATTGATCCATTAAGTCATTAATTATTTTACATTCAATTTCAGTTTTATACAGCTGCCGTTTTTCTCCAAGAGTCCAAGCTCGGTTCAAGGAATAAAGACCCTATCATCAATGGTTATACTTTGATCAGATTAAACAGACCTAATGCTCTCAACCATCGAAGTGGTGGGGGTCTGGCCATCTACATCAAAAATGGTATATCCCATAGTGAGGTTCCTCTGAAAACCATCGCTCCTCTGGAGGCACAGGCGGTATCCTTTACCGACAAGTCAAAGGTTTTTTCTATCGTTAATATTTATCGACCCGAAGTCAAAGGCAAACCTCAACGATTCAGTGAATATCAGTATGTTTACGATCAGTTGCCCGGTACCGACAATATTGTGCTTGGTGATTTCAACGCCAAACACGTATTGTGGGGCTCGCCATCAACTGACACTAATGGTAGGCAAGTTGCTGAGTTCATTGAGGCCAATGACCTGGTTAGCATAAATGATGGTAGCATTACTTATGTTGGTGCAATTGCTCCTCTTGGTTCGCATCTCGATCTCACATTAGTAAGCAGTCGGTTAGCTAAAGACTGTACGTGGGAAGCAACCAGTGAGACCCTTGGAAGTGACCATTGAAATCACGCTGCCACGCAATGTTGTGAAGGAGGAAGTCATGTGTCAAGGAATATGGAGACTAGGGAAGGCTAACTGGGATTTCTTTAGGCGTCATTTCACTCGTTCCAGGCTATATCTGGCAAGGGACGAGGACGTCTCTAGTTTTTCTGGGAAGTTGACTCAGGTTATTACTGATGCTGCTATGGGCTCTATTCCCCGGACTAAGGATGGCATTGCACGTAAGTCACCCAAGTCCTGGTGGTCCGATGAACTCCAGGCTGCCGTGGATGCTCGCAAGCGGGCTCTACGACGGTTTCAGAGGAAATCGGACCGTTATACCAAGGCAGAATACTTAGCGGTCAAGGCTTCTACAGCTGCTCTGTTGTGTGAATCACAAACAAAGCACTGTCAGGAGTTCTGCAACTCATTAATTGAGAAGACCAACCTAAGATCTGTCTGGCGTAAAATTGACTCAATGCTTGGTAAAAAATCTAATTCTTCCATTCCAACTCTTTGTTACAGGGATTCCACAGAATACAGCAATGAAGGAAAAGCCAATTTGTTAGCCAAGTGTTATGCTGACGGCAGTGCTGATACCAAAGAATTTCTAAAGAACAAGAAGACCTTCTACACCAACCACACTCCAATTCATCATTCGCCCTTAGAGGATGAACGGGATCTTAACGCTCCCTTCACCCTCGACGAGCTGAAGAAAGCACTGTACAGTAAGAAAGACAGCGCTACTGGTGAAGATAATATCAAGTACAGCATGTTAAAGGAGTTACCAATGGAAGCGTCTACAGTTCTACTAGAATTATTCAACAAATCATGGTATAATGGTACAATTCCGGAAAGTTGGAAAACGGCAATGGTCATTCCTCTACCAAAACCGCAGAAAGATAAAAGTCTATGCAGTTCATACAGGCCTATTTCTCTGGCCTCAACTCTATGTAAAACATTTGAGACCATGGTCAATAATAGATACCACTGTGAACTAAATGGCCTTATCGATCCCAACCAAAGCGGCTACAGAGAGAAACGGTCAACAATGGATCAAATCGTTCCACTTCAACACGACATGGCCGCCCAACTCGGAAAGAAGAACTACTTCAGTGCAGTATTCCTGGATCTGTCCAAGGCCTTTGACTTAGTCTGGGTTGATGGTTTGCTTTTTAAACTTAATAAACTTGGCATTCGGGGTCGCATGTTCAGGTGGATCCAAGACTTCTTATTCTCTCAGCGAGAAGCACTCGTTGGAGAATGGCACCCCGCAAGGCTCTGTTATTAGCCCTACCCTCTTCAGCATTATGATCAATGATCTGGCCCTGGATTCTGTAAAGCATATAGAGCTCTCGGTTAGCACGGCTCTATATGCAGATGACAGTTCGATATGGGCTGGTCACAATGACCTCAATAAAGTTAAATGGCGTATGCAAACTGCTCTGAACCAAGTTGCTAAATGTGCAAACGACTGGGGCTTCATTATTTCGGAAGCTAAAACCGTCGGTTTGTTCTGCAGCAGAAAGAAAGATCACGACAGTATTGACCTTAGACTGAATGGTGTGATGATTAAGCATGAGAATTCAGTAAGGTTCCTGGGAGTACACTTTGACAAGTGTCTGACTTGGAGTACGCACATTGACTATATCTGTAACCGGTCTACAAAAATCTTAAATGTTATGCGTTATGTTTCAGGTACCACATGGGGAGCAAACAGAGAAACTCTAATGATGATGTACAGGTCACTGGTTGTATTGCCTATGGTAAAGCAAGTGATACTCAACTGAAGAAACTCGACGTTCTACACATGAAAGCTATTCGTATTGCCACCAGGGCAGCCGTAGGTACGAAAAATGAGGCGCTACTTCAGGAGGTGGGAGAGAAACCCCTCTCTCTTCGGAGGGAGGAGCTATCTCTCAAATTCTGGCGGAAACTTCAATATTTGTCCGAAAGCTGTCCGATGTATTCCAGCATCAGAAGATTTACTCGTGTCGGAAATAACCAGAAGAATCGGAGTATTTCTTACGGGCAAGCGGTCACTGATCTATTGAGAGAGCATCAGCTCTCAAGTAACGATCCTTGAACACCGCCTATCGGCTACTCCGTTTTGGAAGGTTACCAACCAAACAGTCAACACCCAGCTGATCCAGAGTACCAACAAGCACGAGAACCCAGTGGGAGCAAGAGCTCGCGCTCTTGATCTCATTGATTCCGTGTACGCCGACCATTTGAAGATCTACACCGATGGTTCCAAAAGTAGTACCGCAACAGGTTACGGTTTGTGCATCCCAGCAAAAGGCATCCGCATCAGTAAAAGGATCCCCCCGCACTGTTCAGTGTTCACAGCAGAACTCTTTGCCATCAGGGACGCGGTAGCATGGCTGTCCGTCAATCACACGGAGCATGCCGCGATTCTATCCGACTCGCTAAGCAGCCTCCAATCTATTTTTCTCACCTCTTCTAATCGCAGGTCAGAATTTATTTCCGAAATAAGAAGAATGATCAACAACTACCAAACCAACAACGACCATTGAATTAGTATGGGTTCCATCGCACGTCTCCATTCCTGGCAATGATCAAGCAGACCGTTGTGCCAAGGAAAGTCTGAGTCTGGAGGATATCGAGCCTGTAGAATACTCCTATTCGGAGTTCTGCAGTATCGTATCTTCTAGGATCAACCAGAAATGGGCCGACATGTTACGGAACCTCGACACCGCAAGATACCAGATTGATCCGAAGATACCAAACCAAACCAAACCATCCATCTGTAGCCATCTGCAAAGTGGCAACCAGACTCAAGACCAACAACGTACTACGAGACCATCAGTTCAACGCCATTAAATGTCGCTGCGGCCACGTTGCCACAAGGTCGCATGTCCTCATTCAATGCACTGAACTGAAACCCGCTCGTAAGCCACTGCTAGAGTACCTGGAAACCAACGGCATACCACTCACCATACAGACTGTTTTGGCTCCACCCACGGACCACTGGTATACGATAATGGAACTAGTCTTCCATTTTATAACCAAATCTGTCTTGAACAGATAGGCTAAGTTTTTATACTCAAAGTTTCTTAACACTTTTTTAATTATATCCAATCAATTTAACAAGTTTCATTGCAGAAACATTAGAGAACATCTCTCCCCCTTTTGTGAAAGCTCCCCCCCCCCCTTCTTTCCTCCCTCTTTTTCTCACTTTCTTTTTTTTTTTCTTTTTTCAGGTCTTCGAGTTTTCCAACAGATAACAGATAATCTAACCAAACCAAACCAAACCAACGACTACCAATCAACAAGAAATACCATGATCAGAACGAGTTTGGAAGAATGAAGGAGACCGAGTAACTCACGCCACACCGTCCAGGGTCGACCCGACCATTTCAACGAAGAATCAACAACCAAACCAACAACACCGAATCATCCAATTTGATCCAATCCAACTACCAACTATTACGACTACCAACAACTACCTAGTTTGCGATATCAGCATCCGCTGGAAGCGAACGTTAACTTGTCATCTACCTACCTACCTGACTTTTTGAATCATAGAGTTGAGCCCCCCTTAAAACATTTGTCCCCCCCCCCCCACCCCACCCCCACCCTGAGACCCCGGGATAGCTACGGGCCTGGTCAAATAAAAGCGGTTTTTGTAATCACATGAATCAATTATTTCTTCATCCCCAATGGATCATCAAACCTATCGAAAACAAGCATGACTGTATTCCGTCACTGATTTTTAAAAATATAACGAGATATAATCTTCTTCATAATACTAAACTTAAATGTTAAAAGATTGTTATGTACTTATTTTGTCACAATTTGGCAAACAAATACATATCTTAATAAGATCATATAGGAGACGGATTAACAAGTGTATTAAAGGGATTGTAGAGAGGTTTTCTAAACTTTTTATGTGTATCGGCGACACTGATAGAATCAATTACTATACAGTGGGCCTTTGTGAATATAAATTTATCATAACTCTGAAATAAATAATAAGTATGATAAATAAAAAATATTTATTTATTAATAGCACTATAATGATATTATTATACAGTACTTAAGATAGTAGAAATAGAACAATTTAAACTATTTTACAATTTGATTATAATCCTTACCCTAATTCCTAGGAATTCAATAACACTAAATCCACAATATACCTACATTCTTCCAAGTTGCTTTCTAGATGAAAACCAAAAACAAAGTAACTAATAAGACACAAGCCTAACTGTCCCCTGTATTTAAATCTACTTAAATTTACTCATGATGAGTGGTATTTATTAATTAAAGCTAACTACATCCAGCAGACGACAAAATAGATTTGCCACAACATAACAAACACCAATAAGTCTACTGTTAAACCCAAAACCAAGCGATTGCAGAGAGTTTCTGGATCGATCGATCAATTGCAAACCGTAGTACCTTGTGGTCTAAATATCTATCATGACAATCAAATCATAACCTTTGTTGCAACCGGGTTGAAAAATCCGAAGGTAATTTCTAAACCTATGCCGGGAGCAAGCGTCCAACTAACTGTGCCACCACGTCTCCCTATAAAGACAATAAATATGCAAACAAGTTAGTCATTTTCTTATCAACTTGATAACTCTACTTTCTACTTGTGACCTAGGCCATTGCTTCTATAGGAGAATTTTATAGCTCTTTTAATACCTAATACTACATATAAATTAACAAAATTATGCAGAAATTACGCGTAAACATGAAAAATGTCCTTGATCGGGCAACTGAAAATTGTTCCCCTCTGATTTTTTTCGACAGAATACGTTGGCATTTATATAGTATGAAGAAATAGAGGCACTGGAGTGTGAGATATATACAGCTAGTACTAGTGACTATTATTGACTATATTATCACTGAATAGAGTCATTTATTTTAAGAGTAAATTCAAACAGAAACCTTGTTTTGATTAAAAATTGTTTCCAGATTTAGTTACGATTTGCATTGAATGGCAAGAGGTGATTGGTTACGTTTTAAAATATATACTACTCGCTAAGTGTAAGACGCGAGACTTCTGGAATAAACAAAAAGAAAAATGAAAGACGTGTTCACCGGCATAGCCGGTGCAGTTTTCGCAATTATTTCGATTGTCCCGTTTCATTTAACCAATAACGCTCAACCTTCACCTTATATGGACGAAATCTTCCATGTTCCCCAAGCCCAAAGGTTTTGTGATGGGAACTTTAGCTACGTAAGGGCATTATTACATCTTAACGTTACTTGTTCTTCCGCATACACACTTCTTAACATGGATTATTGATTTTATTCAGTTTTTGAAAACAAGTATTTATTGTATGGAAAAAACTACATGTCATCATGTAGAGGAATATGCTTTTAACTTTTTTGAAAGTTTAAACCAGAAATACTCAAATATAAAGTCACAAACACCTGAAAAGATTTGTTCATTTATGTAATCATTTGGAATCCCAACCAATCAGGAATAATGAAGAGTTGTAATTGTTGTATAGAAACTATGAAAAGGCTTTGGATTTAAATGTAATATTACACCAAGTTACTAGTTCTTCAAGTTGAAATTAAAACAGTCAGAATTTTCCTTTAACTGAAACTTAAAGCCAAAAGCTTCCTCCTCTCACAAATCAGGCTTTGTTTTCTACGAATAGACTTATTTTCAAAGTACCGTAACTCAATGTTTACCTCAAATGTTTACAATATCACATTTTGCCTATTAATTTTGATGAATTAAAACAGATGAAAGCTAATCACCAAAATTAAAACACTACTTAAGAGTCTCAGATTGATAAGAATTACAACCAATATAAAAAATTTCTTGAGAAATTACCGGGAGTGTGTTAAACAGACAGGTATGCCATTTTGGGGGGTTGATTTTAGTCTTGAATATATGTAAATAGTCTTCAGAAGTACTAGAAATGTAGGAAAATCACATAATTCCTTCAAACTTGAAATTTTACTCATTATTTCTATATATGTCTTTTTCTATATATCACAGAGTATCTTAAATTGACGAGTCGTCATTAGCTCAGCTAAAAAATTCCAGTTTCTGAAACAAAAGTGTGATTGTGTTTTTAGAGAAGGGTTATTTCTTTGCATAGAGCATATATACCATAATATATCTCTCAAGGAATAATTCATATTTTGTGACTTTTTATGATCAATTTTTTGGACTGAATAACATGCTAGTTGGAAGCAAATTTCTGAAGTATTTCCACTCTCAGTAGGATTTTAATTTTGGTGTTTAATTTGAACAAATTCAATTATTTTCATCTTTATTGCTGTATATTTTAGTGGGATCCTATGATAACAACACTACCTGGTTTATACTTGTCATCTTTAGTTATCCTAAAACCATTGACCCTAATACCTAGTACCAACATAGTCTGTTCTACACACAATCTTAGAGCTGTTAATATCATCTTTATGACCTTAAATATGATATTGCTATATCTTATAATCCAGAAACTACACTCTAAAAATAAGGTTGGTTCACACCTTAATTTCTTTATTGATCATGTTTCTTGAGACTTGGCTGTATGTGATTGGCTGTATGTGATTTATTGTGTTTAATTACAGAATTTATATGGTATTTTTGTTTGAAGAGTATTTGCATAGAGATACTGTATAATTTTTTAAAATGTAGATCATGTTTTATTCTGCTGAAAGTAACTAGCCTGGAATTTATTTTAAGGGTTCATGTAATATTGTTTTGGTTGTTGGTGTGCTTTACCATCAAACAGAACTCAATATCGACTATCCATATTCTATATTTCAGGATTGACATATAGACTTTGGATTATTGTGACTTTCAGGCTAAAAAATGTTTTTTTTTATCATTTCAGATAATCTCCAGATCAATGATAATAGCAAATGCTTGGATTCTGTCATTTTTCCCCATTTTGTATTTCTTTACATGGCTGTATTACACAGACCCTGGTGCAGTATTTTTTACACTGCTCATGTACTATTTAAATTTATGTGATCACCATTTTCTCTCTGCCATGGCTGGTGTTTTTGCTGTTGTGTTTCGGCAGACGAACATCGTGTGGGTGATTTTTGTCATGGGATTGGCTAAAGGGAGACAACTACTAAAATTTATAGCTGAAGAAAAGAAAGATATTTCTAAAATGTCTGATTTTAAAGTTTTATACACAATCTTTAATTTATATTTGAAAACTTTACGTTTTAAACCATCTAGAGCTTTTGAACTCAAGTGGAATATTCTCAAGTCTTGTTTTTGGTACATGATTGTTTTGTTTGGATTTGCCTCGTTTGTTTATATTAATGGAAGTATTGTGGTTGGAGACAAGAGTCATCATTCAGCTTGTTTTAATATTCCACAGATTTTCTACTTTTTGTCTGTAACTTTAGTGTTTTCAATCATGCATCTAGCCAGTCCGTCAAAACTGATATACTTTTTCAGGTTTTCAATTCAGAGTCCCGTTCGCGTCTCATTATTCGTATTGTTATCATATTACGCCATCACTCATTATACATATGTTCATGAATATTTATTAGCTGACAATCGACATTATCCATTTTACGTCTGGATGAAAATATATCGTCGTCATGACTACGTGAAATATGGACTTATCCCAGTGTATTTATATAGTGCAATTTCTGTTTCTAGATTGCTGGAAACAAGAGACATTTTCTGGAAATTGTGTTTTGTAATTTGTCTATTTGCATGTACAGTTCCTCAAAAGCTTTTAGAATTTCGTTATTTCATTATTCCATATCTAATTTTCCGAGTGAACATTTCAGTAACTTCTAAATTTAAACTATTTATAGAATTTTTATTATATACAACTGTTAATATCCTCACTGTGTATATCTATTTATTCAAAACGTTTAAATGGGAAAATTCAGTAGAACTACAACGATTCATGTGGTAATGCTATGTAATGTTAAATTGCTTCTTAATTAAATTGTTATCAGTTAATCTTTTGTTGCTTTACTAGATAAGACTGTCCCTTGGTTTTATTCGTCAATTCCATTGGCTACTAACTTTATATTTGTAAGTTATACTACACCGTTTTCTGAATTGAATTTGAAATGAACTGAAATATCAATCGTATTCATGAAAATATCAACCACTGGAATAGTTATTAATTCTAAACATGATTTTACAGTCCGAAAAGTAGGTTATTTTCACGTGAATTTTCTATTTAAAATGTAAAATCACCAAACCTTATATTTCTATGGACTCAAAGACAACTGGCATACAGTAGAAAATTTTAATTTGAATATTTATGAAATGAGAAAAAAAGGCTTATAAGTCCATGGTATTTAAATACTTGGCAGATTACGATTAAACTCTCAACTGGCTACAGTACTGATTTAACTCTTTACAGCTAGCTCTATACTATCAAAGACTTTGTAAGTGGTGAGGAGGTTCTCATTGGGGTTAAACATTCCTTTTGAAAATTAAATATCATTTGGTAAAAAAAATCATAAAAAACAATTATCAACAACTATATACTTCAAAGTACTTAAATGAAGAAAAAGATGTGTACTCAATTTCCTTTATAAGGTGACCTGGTGAAGTGGTTACGTATTTGTATTGCATTGAATTTCGAAGAAAATTTGGCTGTGAAAAGTATAATGTCTGGATAATAAAGACTTATTCACAATAAGTTATCTCCCCTGATAAGTTGCTAATGGCGACGGTCTATTGTTTACAAAATGGCGTCTCAAAATCAAAGTTGAACCGAAAGTAGCTGTTTCATTCCGATAATACATGTATCTAAAGTAAGTGGAGGTTTTCAAGAAGTTGTTATAGACCAGCGTTGTCAAAAATTGTGAGAATATTTCAACATAAGCGATATTTCTGACCGTGCTGACGAATTAATGACATATTGATGTTCTTTATTCGATTCCGGATTCCATTCCAAAACCTCACCTACAGACAGTCTAAAATCTGGAGCATTTAATATTGTCGCATTTATTTGTCACGTTGGTGCATTGGATTTAATTGTGACTCATGTTTATTGTTTACTAATCTATATAATATTACCTTATTACATTATGGTAATGAGTGAATTATACATCTTTCATTAACAATTTCCAATATTTACATTTAGATATCAACATGTCTGATACACAGAGGTCTACTGCTGTTTCCCCAGCTAATTCTGAGGCTTCAGCCAAAAAATCCAGTAAGTCTTGACTCTTATAGACCTATATATATGAAGACAATAATTTGTCAATGATTTGTTTGAAAAATTCTTCTTTGATTCTGCATTTTTTTTAGAATAAGCCTACTTGTATACCACATTTTTTGTATATTTTTTAAATATCCCCAAGAAGTAAGAATGGCAGCATTGTATTAGCTGCAACTTCCAATAAGCTTATATCATTGGTTTGACATTTATAAATTATACAATTTTAATTACTATCATTCACTTAAAAAAAAAACCCAATTCAAGATCTGTTGTAGGCTGTTCAACTAATATGTTTTGAATTGATATTTCAGGACAAGATGTTGTTTCAAGACAATCAGGAAGAGTTACCTTCCCTAACTCAGCTAAATCATCCAGTCAACGGTCTATTCTCTCAGGTCTGTTATTATTTTTTATTCAAATTCTTTATGATAGTCCAATTATAGTCCATCCATGTATGTACATCCTGGTCCAATTCAAAACAAGCAATATTTATTTTGTCTATTTCTACTTCAACTACAAGTAAAGTGGACTGCTTTTCTTTATGTTTGAGTCTGACCACGATGAGCAACATGTCTTGGCTCGAGTAAGCATAAAATAACTAGCACAATAGAATAATATAAAGCCTTGAAAGTTTAAGAAAAATTTCGCTGTAATTGAAATATGATGTTTCTATTTGTAGATGACTTGGCACCAGGAAGCAATCCATTCACCATGCCACTAGATAGTGATATTTTTATGCTCAGAGATAAAGAAAGACAGAAAAAGAAACAGGTATAAAAATAAATAGCATTAATTAGGTGACTGGTAATATTTCTTAAGAAAGAAACAGCTATATTTTACAATGATAACAACTAAGGTTCACTTAGGATTTTTTCTACCAGTTGGTCCTTGGCCAAACCTCACGGCATTGAGATTATCCGTACCCATTTACCGCTGGGTCAACTGGTATTATGAGTGAAGACTACATATTGAAGGTCATTGTACTTTCACAAGCTGACCGAGATTAGAACCCACAATATCATATATTAAAGCACCATTGACTACGACTACAATTTTTTTTAGAAAATTGAAAGTTTGATCTTGTTTTTCTTAGGAAAGATTGAAACAAAGACAGCTAAAAGTACATGAGAAAACCACCTATGCTACTCGAGTTAATTTCCGTACGGCATCAATGATACGACCAGTTGATTCTGATGAAGAAATAACAGAAGAAGACCCAGATAAATCAGTAGCTGTTAAAGATGATCCTGAATTCACAATTAAAGTCACAAGAGGTATGGAGCTATGAAGTTTGTTTAGTTATTTTTGAGTACCAGTAGTATATTTTTTCAAACTTTTGAGTAATATATTCCAAACTAGAGTCTTGTGCTGGCACAATATTACTCCATATTGCAATTTGATCAGGTTGTATCATAGCCTTTATATCTTAATAGCACTACTAGAGTCGTTCTTTGTTGCCATCCAAAGTTTAATCCTGTGTATTAAAAGATTATTTAATTTATCTTGTATAATTTATGTTATAATCATATTGTTTTAGATCGTCATGTAGAAAAAGAATCATTAGCAGAGTATATTGCTAAAAAACGTGAAATGTTTCTAGTTCAGGTAAGTTCATAATGTTATTACTCTTTCTTTCCAATTAACATGACATAACTTACCATATTTTCATGGGTACCAAATTTTGGGGAATTTTTCAGAGAAAGGGGTAAGGACATAAATTCAGGAATTCTATTTGCTTCTAAAGTATTCTAAGCAGTTTTATTTTGGACATGAGTTCTTGCAAAAACTGAAAGTAATCAAAATATTCCTTCTTATGATCATGATTTGACCATATAAAAAAAGTTGGATATCTCAAGTATAAACCCTAGAATTAATTTGAATATTTACTTGTAATGATTGAAATATGAATAAACTTAAATAAATAAATATGATTGTTTCCTGTCCAGTATTCATTAGGTGTAAAACGTGATGAAATGAGAAAACTTGAAGAAATCGCTCAAGCTGAAGAAAGGAAATTAGAATTAGCTGAACAGTATTTAGAAGAAGATGCTGCCATGTTTGATGAGTTTTTAAAAGAAAATGATAAGAATTCTGTGGAAGCTATCAAATTGTGAGTTTCTGGATTGATCTTCAATTTGATTGCCCATTTCAGAAAATGTTTCATATACATTGTATCTCTTGAGTGGATTTTGATCAATTTGGCTCAAATCTGGATTATTAGGGTGTGTATAATAAAAACTCCCTGAGAAGGTTCAAAAATAGAAAATTTGTTGACAAGGTATTGCCACTGGTATGTATGTCAAAATTTCCCTCATTGCATACATCAAGGGGTTTCCAGTTTCGTAGACTGTAGAACAACAAGACATTACTGTACATTATTAATTTTTTCAGAGCTGAACAAGAGACCAAGTTGAAATTGGAGAAAGTTGCTGAAATCAAAAGAATCCATGCTCAAATGATGACTATTAAATCTGAAATATCAAAATATGAAGACACATTAAAAGAATACCAGTTATATCGTAAATTCTTAGAAACATTAACACCTCAGGTATAATTTCTTTTTATCTTGTAGACAAAATGGAAGGCGAAAGTTAAAAGCAACCTTTAAATCTCAAATGACAATTTTAATACGAGTAAAAATCACCAAGTGATATTTGGTGCAATATTTATAATATGATACTAAGACCTTGTTATGTGTATGGGGTATACTGATAGTATTGTTTTGCACCATTCCAATTTCCAGCTATATGCCTATGGTTCCCGCAATTCCACTAAAACTAAGTGTTATATGACATTACTTTCACAAAAGCTGCTTATAATATCTATTTGATGGTGATGTCTGACTGAAAATTGGAATGACAAATCGATGCATTCAGTGTCCCCAATTTACATAAAGAGAGTAGAAAACCTCTTTACAAATCCTATGGAAGAGTCCAAAGAGATAATACATTACAATTAATTTAAAACAACTGATGTGCTAATTAGCATTATCCTAACTTGCAGGAATTTCTAGAAGAAAAAATGAATGAGAAAAAGAAAAGGAGAGAAGAAAGAAGGAAAGAAAGAGAAATGAATGCATTAAACGCTAAGAAAAGTGAAATGGAACAACTTGAGAAACAACAGTCAGCTGAGTCAAAAATTCGGAAGAAATTTGGTAAACCAGGTTCTGTACAAAAGACTAGCTTAAGTTCTACTTCTTCCAAAAAGTAAGTTTGATTTTTATCTTTTGTTAACCCTTTGAACCCTGAGTGTAAATGAAATATATCCTCATATACCCTGAACTCAAAGTAATAAAAGTAAAAGCGTATGACGTTAACGTTGTATGACGTCACTTAACAACGGCCGGTATACCAGCTGCTCTGGTATATATTACGTTATTGTTTGGCCGGTAAACTGGGTGCCAGGGTTGAAAAGGTTAAGGACTTATCAAGAGAAAAAAAAAACTGTAGTGGCAACGATCCCAACCAAAAGCAAATAAATGATATCATTATTAAACAAACTGAACTAATGACATTATGACATGGTATTTTTGAAAGACAAAATATAACGTCTGCTTAAGTTATCTGTGTGTAAAATGAAGTTGTTAATAATTTATGTTTTTGCTTTTTTGCTTCCAGAATAAGTGAAACAGAGAGTCCTGCCTTGTCAAATCTTGAAGATGAAGATGACAGTGATGAGGTTGGTTAATCTTTAGATTTGAAATCTTTTGTTTGTTTTGGTATCAGAAATTGTTCAAATTTAGCCAATTTTGTTTCTTGATCTATTTTGGCATAACCTAACACAAAGTTGGGCCAATATGACAGCCTTTTTGAGGTTTTCCTATCCCAGGAGTCATCATTGGTATCAAAAAACGGGTCCCACATGACAAGCTTTGGTTGGTTAAAAGTAACGTCATTAGAACGAGTCGGCAGTAGAAATCTTGTTGGATTCTAATAGAGATGAAAAATAAAAGAAAAAAAGTAACAAAATTTGAATTAGATTTATATGAAATTTAGAAATATATAGAAATTCACCTTATATATATTAGATAAACCAATAGTAAATTGATGTTTGTAGGAGTTAGAATTGTACTTTAAAGATCCCCAACAACTATTAGATATATTTGCTGAATTAGAAGAACAGAATCTATCATTGATTCAAAACAGTCAGGAAACAGAGGAGTCTTTAGAGGAAATGAAACAAAATATTAAACAAACTAAACGCAAAATGTAAGACATTTTCTTTGTTTTGCTCTGGATGGATCAATTAATTTCTCCATTTATAAGTTGCTGTCCATATTTTGAGAGGTTCTGTAGCACAGTCAGTAAGATTGTTCAAAAACTTAGTATGATGTCATTTGCTTAGTTTCTTCACCTCTAAATGGTGTTTCTAGGTTTTCATTTTGGTTGGCTTGTGAAAGTCTGTTGAATCCAGGAAAGATCAATGTCTACAAGGTTCCGACAAGGAATAGCTGGTAGAAAAGAAAATCCTCGTGAACAAAAGTTATTACCCATGTTATTTCTTTTTTCACCAGCATTAATCTGCTATCTTAATTGATCATATTTTTATGGTTTCTGTTAGGGATATATTCTAATTTGAACAAAGGAGCAGTGGGCAAGTTTGCTAAGATGTTGACCATCATGACTATTTTTTCTCCAGGGAAAAAGAAACCCAGATTTTAAAAGAGCAGATAGATAAATTAAATACACAGATTAAAAAAGAAGAAGAAAAAGCAGCAGATCTGAAAATGAAATCAAAGTGAGACTGAATTATGATAAGAAATGGACATTGACTTCATGATAATCAAGATTATAATATATTTGTTAATTTAACTATACACACACTTGGACAATTTTGCGCATTTAATTGTTGTTCAAAGGTATCTTTTCCTTCTTTGTCTTCAGATACATTGAAGACAGAATGATGAAACTCTTGACTAAATGAAACATTGTCATAGGAAGGATTATTAATGAAGACTTTGGGTCTTCATATGGCTGAATAGTGTTTTTTTAACATAATAGTTGGTTCAAAGAAAATCCCATGAGTTGAATGTGCCCCTTGAGCTTAATGTTAGACAGGTTAAAGCCACCTGGGTATTGGATCTTATTCTGACCCAAGTGAAATTCAGAGATTTATGTGAAAATAAATTTGTTTTGAAAATTTCAGAATGTTTAATTATGGTGAATTTAAAGCAGATGACCAGGAGAAGATGTTGGCATCATTAAATCGTAAAGTTGAAGAGGTGTATCGCGGCTGTATTGGTGACAATGAAGCAAACATCAGGTTAGTGGTGACATCTAGTGTTTTATTACAGAATCAAAGTTTAAACAGAAATAAACTGGTTATATCATGAACGACCTCAGATGTAATATACCTTTTCTACCTTCCTTTTGAAAGAACTGAATTGAATAACTAAAGTAAAAGTAATGGATTTCTGTTTATCATTAATGTTAAAAGAGGGAGTAGCCTAATTCTTGTTTTGTGATTTATAACCATTTGGCTATAAATGATTTTCAAAAAACAAGTTATCTGTTTTTTTCAACTCTTCATCACTGAAGACTTGTTACAACATTAATGAGGTCTTTCATGATAGAGCCAGTTAAATTTCTATAAATTTGATGAGTTAAATGTCTTTTGGTTTACTCTTTTTGTAGTTTCTATATAGTTTTTTTTCTCCGTGTTTTCTGCATGATAGCTTTAAATTGAAATAGTTAATTAACAATTAGTAATAAGTAGTGACTACAGTCCTCTATCATATTTCATGTTTTTGACTAACAATGGGGCCACTCGATTGGTGAATTCTGCACATTCCGTATTCATGGAATCAACAAGACATTTGAAAAAATAAGTTGGAACAGAGTTCTGAATCCATTCCACTTGTGCTGAAACGATTGCACATGCAAAATGTCAAAAATTTTGAATGTGACATAATCTAGTTCTGTACTGTTTGATTGAGGCCAGAATTAAAACAAACAGAACCTATTCAGAACTCACCAATCAAGTGCTGCTATATATTTCTATAACTGTGACATAAACACCTTGGTTCATGCATGCTTTTTAATTCATTGTTTTTAATAAATTTGTATTAATTCTTAATTTAAAAATTTTGATGTTCATTGTTTACTTTCAACTGAGATTTATGCAACAACCATCACTGGTTAAGTTTTATGTAACATTTCAATATGTTTTTCTTCAGTACATGGGGAAGAATTCCCAAACATCTGCCTCTATTCCAGCCTAGAATAGAATCAACTAGGGTCTGAGATATGTTCTAAAATAACATTGACTATCTTCACTATGACTGTAAATTAGTGTTGGGTTTGAATAAATAAGTTTAAAACCCCCTTCAGAAGTCCAGAAAATCCCCATTAAACAGGGCCTAACTTTTCTGACTGTACACCAGCCAACAACTTTCAAAATAGCTATCAAAGGCTGAAAAAGGAGCAGATACTTGGACTAATAGGAAAGGTGTTGAAATATTGCATAAAACTTTAACAATGCTTGTTCAATAAATCTGTTTCTCTATATTGTACAACAATACAATACTATATATCATTTAAAAACTTCATTCAATGAAATGTAATTATATATTTATAGTTTTGGATAGGATATTACATATACTGGGATTGCTTAATATTTACCACATTTCTAATGCACTGCTTTATGCTTTATCCATTTTCACCCTCATTCCATCATGATTCACAATAGTATCCAAATTATCGCTTTGCCTAAACTAGTCACCAATGAGCTTTTCCTTGCTTTAGATGCACTGCATGAAAGATGAAAACCTAAAGACAAATTAGCTCCCTTGATTAAACTTTGATGTTGCAATAATGCCAAGTAGGTGTCAGCACTGATCCGAATGCTTGCTGCATTGACAATGATATACCCCTATATTTTCATAGTTCGTCAATATTTATCTTGTCTAATATCCTTCCTCTATATGAAAGCTTAATATCTGATTAGAAATAATTGCCCTATGCCTCATGTGATCAATACATAAAAAACCTTAATGTGTATCAATTAGAATCCCTTGTCAAATTCCTAAGTGTCCATAAATGCAGGCTCATTTCAATTAATATTATATTTTTATCTTGTTTCTTTTCTGTTTTCTACTATAGTTTGTTTCCATTGTAATCTAGCAAATTTTCTACCAAAGTTTCATTCTAATGATCTTATTTTCAACCAATCAGTGTGTGTCATGTAGAACCAGTTTCTTGATAACAATGAATAGTGGGATATAGGCAGCGAGGAGGCTGTCATATTGCTCTACTTTGGGTTTCGCTATTCCCCAATATGTAAGCTTAATGTAAATTTCAAGAAATGGGTTCTACACAACAAATTTTGATTGGTTGAAAATAACTTCATTTGAATGTCAGTGGTACAAAACTTGTTAGATTACAATGGAGATGAATAATATCAGAAAACAAAAAGAAACGAATTGTTACTTGATTTTGATTGTTTATTCTATATGTTTTGATTGATTATGAAATTGATCTACTAATGAAATATTTTATATAAAAACAGCACCCTACAGATGTTAACTAACATAGAAAATAGACTGGAAGAATTATTCCAACAAATAGAAACTATGCCACAAGACAAGGTGGAGGCTGCAGAAAAGGTAGAGTAAAAGAGAAAGGAATTGGTTAACTTTCAGCATTTATGTTTTGGATCTTAATGATTCATGAAAATGCATGTAGTTAAATACTTGACTTGTGTTATAATTTTTTTCTAGAAAACTCAGCTCCTCTGTTATGATATATGAATGTGATATTGTCACAGGTTTGCCCAATCATCTTATGAGCGACCCAGATCAATTCCCATATAAAATGACATTAGATATCTGGCCTAACGATATCTCGTCTGTTTATCCTATTAGAGTAACGGGGCAGATCCAGTCCCACCAATTTATGAAGGGGGCCAAAAAATGACATGCTTAGCAACTTTATTGGTGTTCTTACAGCTGCATTTAAATGCTTTAACTTCTGCTTTTGCAAGTCAAAATGAAAAGAAGGAACAGAAGACCCAGGCATATTTACTTGTAAATTAACATTTAATATCTGGAATTATGTTTAGGCTAAAGAGAAAGAAAGAAGATTAAAGATGAGAGAAGAAAAGATTGAACAACAGAAGAAATACCAGGAAGAAAGAGTGCGTAGAGCTTTAGAACGAGCCAAGGCAGAACCTAAAAAACAGGTGAGAATCATACAATTGATATTTATAAGCCTATTAAATTTTGAGGGATTTTCATTTTAGAGGTGAAAAAGGTGTATGATTCAAATAAGTTCATTTACATGTTTTGGATGCCAATAGAATGGTCTCTCTAAGGAAATGTTCGTCACAACGATAACCTCTGCTCTGGTGCATGTCCAATTGACCATGTCCGACCTCTCATTCTTGCAAAATGTTTTGGGATACACCATCCTCATTGAGACTGGTAATTATGGAATTGGAGATTATTTTGAGGGGTACTTCTGTAGCCCAGTTGGTTAGTGCATCCGAATCTTTATATGACATTATTTGGTTACAAATGGTGGTCATGGGCTCTAATTTCGGTCAGCATGTGAAAGTCATTATTCCAGTGGACACAGCTGTAAACGGGTACTGGTATGATGTTAAAAGAATTGTGCTGTATTAGAAATTTACTATTACTATTTTTTAGACTGGAAAGAAATTGGTATTCCGTTCAGAACCTCCACAAATGAGGAAGAAACAAGACGAAGGTGCTGATCAAGCCAGCAAAGAGGAGGAAGAATTAGCCTATTTCTTTACGTGGTAATGGTTGCCATGGTTTAGCCACCATTTTTAAAGACATTGTACCATGTGGAAGACATTCAACAAATTTACTATTACTGTGATATTCCCAATTTCAATGGGGACAATATATTCATTTTATTTAATTAAAACCATGCAACAAACTTCATGAAAACTTGTACAACATAACTTGTGATAGTATTTTTGGTATATTTTTGAACTACATGTACTATTGAGCTGCCATAAATAGAATAGTTGGTCTTCTAGAAAAGGTTTACCAGTTGCCCCTCCTTTAAAGTGTTTTCATCAGGAAATTTATCATAGTGTCTATCAAAGTGTAAGCTTGAAGGTTTTTGTATTTGTCCTTTAAAAATTAGCTGATTTAAGGGGGCTACTATAATGGTTGTGCAAAGGACTATATTTGTTATGTTTGTTCAGTCTGTACTGATTCAAATTTCAGCATTATCACGGAAAATGTCAGCATTGTTAAATCATGTTTGTTGAAATATATAAAACTTGTTATTTTATAATATATTTATTAAAACTTGAATATAAATCTGTATGCTGATATTGATTAACACTGTGCCAAAAACCTTCAGTGTCGTGCTGTGTGCAAGTGCTTCTCACTGTGTGCATACCATAACATCTTATAACTTTAACATTGCTAGAGGGGGGGTTTGACAATCTGTGTTATATTTGTGTCAATATCTTAGACATTGCTAGAGGGGGGGTTTGACAATCTGTGTTATATTTGTGTCAATATCTTAGACATTGCTAGAGGCGGGTTTGACAATCTGTGTGATGTCATGTTAATACATTTGACATTGTAAGAGGGAGGTTTGACAATCTGTGTAATATTTGTGTCAATATCTCTGACATTGTAAATGGGTGGTTCGACAATCTGTGTAATATTTGTGTCAATATCTCTGACATTGTAAGAGGGTGGTTTGACAATCTGTGTAATATTTGTGTCAATATCTCTGACATTGTAAATGGGTGGTTCGACAATCTGTGTAATATTTGTGTCAATATCTCTGACATTGTAAGAGGGTGGTTTGACAATCTGTGTAATATTTGTGTCAATATCTCTGACATTGTAAGAGGGGGGTTTGACAATCTGTGTTATATTTGTGTCAATATCTCTGACATTGTAAGAGGGGGGTTTGACAATCTGTGTAATATTTGTGTCAATATCTCTGACATTGTAAGAGGGGGGTTTGACAATCTGTGTTATATTTGTGTCAATATCTCTGACATTGTAAGAGGGGGGTTTGACAATCTGTGTAATATTTGTGTCAATATCTCTGACATTGTAAGAGGGGGGTTTGACAATCTGTGTTATATTTGTGTCAATATCTTAGACATTGTTAGAGGGGTGTTTGACAATATGTGTGATGATGTGTAAGTAACTTTGATATTGTTTGACTCCCTTTGAGCAATTTTTGACATCAATGAAAAGAAATTTCAGAAATATTTGTAGTTATTTTATTATTATTTATATGTTTACAAAAAAACAACGCAATAATAAGTATGATATAATGTACAATGATATACAAGTCACATGATCTTGTCAACCAATCAAATTCCAACTAAAATAGGAGCAAATGAAACATTGAGTAACAAATAATATTTCATAAAAATGAAAGTTTAAGTTTAGAGCAAATTCAAGGCTAATGTATTGAACTATGATGAAATAGAAAGAAAGATATGAGAACCATTTTGTTTTCTAAACATGCATAGATATTCTTAATATTTGTTTGACTAATGCATAGATTAACTGGACAATTTTTCTAATATGGATTCTAATTCAAAGATATAAAAAAATGGGACCTCAAAGCTTACAAACAGGGTTCAATTAAGGTAGTATTGCATCCAATTTCCTATGATTAGCTAAAAGTTAATCATGACGATCTACGAATCTGGAACATATTAAAATGCTATTGAATTTCTAAGAAATGTGAATCAAAATAGAACTTGATTTACCAAAACTAACATTAGGTGATATAAATTACTAATTAAAATTTTCAATCTGAATTGAACCCTGCTTACAATTTCGAAATAGGGACTAATTTTGAATCAATTTCGAATCAGCACCATTTTTATTTAAATGGTTTTCATAACTAATGTCTTGTCCATTTGTATCTTATACAATATAATTTCTATTAAGGCACATACAGTTGATATTTTTAGGTTTGCATTTTAGCATTGCATTGATACCCTAATTCTAAAAACAAACAAAAAACCATAGCTAATATTATGCATTATTACCAAAATAACTAATTTTCATAAATTGACAAATTTGATCTGATATTCTGAGATTCACTGAGTTATGTCTGAGGCCAGGAGTTTTCAACCTGGTGGTAATTATCCCATAGGGACTAATTTTGAAATTTTTGCAGGGTAATAAAAAGATTGCAGGGAAAACCTAAGAGAAATAACGAAATAGTAAAGATTTATAAGGGGAATAATGCAATCGATTAAGGATCCTGAAAGTGTAATGAAAAGCAAAATGTTGGAAACCCCTGTTGTATTCAAAATATACAAAATGATTTACACAAAGAAATGAGTTTTTTTTAGATTCAACTCCTTGATTAACAGAATCCATTTTGAGCCATTGAGCTTTTTGTACTGAAAACAGATAAGTAACTATTCAGTGAAGAATTACAATAACTGAATGAAGTGATAACTATTCAGTGAAGAATTACAATAACTGAATAAAATAAGAACTATTCAGTGAAGAATTACAATAACTGAATGAAATAAGAACTATTCAGTGAAGAATTACAATAACTGAATGAAATAAGAACTATTCAGTGAAGAATTACAATAACTGAATGAAATGAGAACTATTCAGTGAAGAATTACAAGAACTCCTAATGTCAAACAATGAAAACTTGATGGTTATCAACAATTACAAATTACGACTAGATATACAGGGATAAATCATTCTCATCTTTTCATTAATGAACAAGTTGAAATTTGAGCAAAAAAATGATCTAAATGCAATTAAAGTAATTAGCCCTTAAACACTGCAATTAATACCAATTTAAAATTATTCTTCAAAATTTCTCTTATATTTTCATTGGTAGGCTATCAAATGAAGAAAAATTTGATATTTTTTTTAGACCCTGGCTAAGTCAAACTTTCCAAAAGCCCTAATATGTTTCATTTAGAAATCTACTGTATCAGAATAATCACTGATTTGATAAATCAAAACTCAAATATGACAGATTTCATTAAAATACTATCAAATGAGCTAACAATATGACCCATGACATGAAGAACTATTGATTTAGATTATAAACTACAACCATTAAGTTTGTTGTAAGGATGAGTTCGCATATGTCTGTTTTTCAATCTTAAAGAATTAGATTTTCAAATTAGTGAGATTTCATTTAGTGCTTTTTCGGTTTGATTGTTTCAATCAGACTTAGATAAAAAAAATTTGAATCCACCAAATTAAGTTGTGATCTTTTACCACTTATTTCAGAACATCAAAGTAATCTATATACTCACTATGTTGAAAACAGCTCATATGTTAACGCCTCCTCCAGATTAAAGGGAATAAAATGAAGAATGAATATAATGAAATATAATATATAATATTTTGATATATAGAAATATATGAAAACTGTGCTATAAACTCAATAAATATTTTGATTTTAATAGTTAGCTTAAACAGCTGAAAAAAGGAAAAAAACAGAGAAAAAATTGTAAAAATAAACAACCAAGAATTTCACAAGTTCTGGAGATACAGGATTATAAATTTGTGAAAATAAAAAAAATATCCACATATGAACCTCAGTGCTTCATGTTTCATCAACATTTTCTAAGAATTTATATAATTTTAAGTAATTCATAGATTTCATTGATATCTGGTAAATGTATTGAAAGAAAAATCAGGAGCAAAATATTTGTGTAAATTGAATGAGCAAACCCTAAATTTTAACAAATTATCTGGTGTTTCTATTCAAAACAAAAGACATGCAGTGAAATATAAAGAGCTCTTCACAAAGAAGATTATTAAAGTCAAATTAACTCAAGATTGCATATCATTACATAGAATATGGTTTCTAATAATTGGAGAGATTACATTTGTTAAATTAAATAGTATTTCTGTTCAAGTAAGTCAAGGGTTAATCAAGGGTATAGTACTATTTCACATTTTCAACTAAGGAGACAATAGTAAGTGAGCACCAATTACAAAGTATTAAGTAGTACAATATGTCCTGTCCTGCAGGATATAGCCACGTATTCACCAAACTATCTTAATGCTAGGATAACCTTGGAAAACAGTGTTAGACCCAAAGACATCTTAGCGCTAAGATCGTTTCAAGAATACACAGCCTAGTCTGGTTTCTGTAAAACAGTGAGAAAATTATAGGTTTGTTTGCTTGTAATACCACAACCTAATCCATGTACTGTTTAAGGTCATAAGCTACTACAAAGTAATTTTATTTCCTGTGATTCTGTGAATAATGACAAAATAAGCCTAAATGCTCTTAGTACAATACACGAAGGGGCACTCAATTGCTGAGTTCTGTGCGTTCAGGATTCATGGAAACCTCCCAACTTTCAAAAAAACAAATTAAAATAAAGTTTAGAACGTGTTCCACTCGTGCCACAAAGAGTAGACTCAGAATTGAAAATGGCGGAGTAAGGAATTGGTGATAAAATTTTGAATGTGACATAGTCCGCTCCTGTAGTGTTTAATAGAGGGCAGAATTGGAACAGACAGAACCTGTTCAGAACTGACCAATCAAGCACCACCAATATGAATTAGTTTATGTCCAAGCTATCATACATGTATATGATTGATCATTCACTAAAACAGGTCACAGTAAATCTAATAACTTAAAATATAAAAAAATAAACCAAAAGTCATTTAAAATTCAACTAGTTTCAAAATTTGTTCTGCTGACTTATTAGCAAAATTATACACACACCTCTATAGTTATTTTGGCTTGAAAAGACCTGTATTTATTTGTTTATGCTGTTCTAGGTAATAAAAATAATATAACAGTTTTATACACAATTTACACTTTAAGCTACATTATCAAATTCAACAACTAGAACATGCCTCAAGCACTAAACAATGGCGTAAAATATCCCCTAGTCCCTGTATATTGATGTGAAATAAGACAAGGGGTATAACATAAGAACCAATATACTATAAAATATGAATGATTAAATGAGTATTCACACAATATGATAAAAATATAAAAATAAAGATGAACCTTTCTAGATTATGATAAATTTTTCTAAAAAAAAAAAATCCCACCAATGTAGCCTATATTGTCTTTCTCTGAATAATATCACTACCAATATATACTGTCGCTATCCTAGCGAGCACATTGTTCCTTCTTCATTACAATTCACATAACAATTTTTCACAATGTGTATATGTCTTCATGAATGTTCAAGGTAAAGGTATTTAGCAATGTGTTTCACAGAGCTATGTTATCAATATTTTCACTAAAATTGGTAAAAATCACTTTGTTTCAATTGTTTCATCTATAAAAAGAGTAAAAAAGAATAACAGTATTACACTAGAGCTCACAATATTTTTACATAATTCTCTTCAACAGACACCTTGAAATGTCCACTTTCAAGCAGTCACAATTCAGAATTTTTTGATTTTTTTCACAAAAAAAGCACTGGCCAAGAGTATAACACACTTCTATGAAGTTGATATAAGAATATAACTATAGGGTACAAATTATTCCCAAACTCCCAAAAACACACAAACTGTTGAACACAAATTAAACATCTGAAATCCAGAATTTTCCATTTTAGATGACGATGATACAATAATGATTTCAAATATTTTAGAATGAAGATGATTTTAGTATTTTGTGATGACTATAATTTCAATACTGTTAAAGTTTGTACACTGTTGATGTTTGAGACAATTCTTCTGATGCTAATCCAAATAATTATCTTTAAAAATTTCCAAATATTTTCACAAAGTCTTGACAACTTCCAACACTTATCACTGAACACAATATATATCTTAATGGCTGGATACTCTAGTCTATTATCAGCATCACAGCTAATGTTTTGTTCTCGTTGGGTATTAGTATCATGAAGTAATAACAATGTCTAGTAAGGATAAGGTAATATCTCTTTCTGTCGTCTGCCCAGATGAGGTGAACTATGACCTATTGGCCCATTGGTAATGACACCTGGTGGATAACGACTAGTAGGGGACGGAGCACCATCTAAAAACAAACAACGATTGATGACAAAAAATAAACATCTTGGATAAATATCAAAAGGAATAATCTCAAATCTTAGTGAATGCAAGACAAACATAACCTAAGAAATATGGGTATAAGATATTGTGCAAAGATTTGACAAATGATCTAACAATATTTTGGCAAAGTGGCACATAGGTATTAAAAGACATAGTGGTTCAATAATAATATCTTTGCAAAAAGGTTTTGTATGGATTCAAAATTCTGGTACCCAATTTACTATCACCTGAAGTGCCTGCCATTCTCAAACATGATAAGTGCATATAGTTCAGACTGTCTCATTCTGTTCTAATGGCGTAACCTGCCAAATTACAATACATGCACACACCCAAATCCATAATTAATTTGTGTACTTACCAAATATAGGAGGGGGTTTATTAGTACGTTTCATCTTTAATCTGACAATAGATCCACCATTTTGTATAATATCTATAGCTTCTGAATGATTCATATTAGTTGTTTCTATTTGATTAATTTCTAAAATTTGATCTCCGACCTAAAATATTTTAATTAGGTTTAAAACTTTCTTAAATTACTACTTCTATATGAATGAGAGAAACAAGGAAAAGTGAATTAAAAATAATTGTAATTTGATCCAATATGCTACAATTACTGAACCTATGAACAATATAGAAGGGACACATCAATAAATTTGAATATATTGGTTATGAAGTAAAAATTAAATCTACTTATTCAACATTTTTTGATCAAATAAATATAACTTATATAATGGATAAAGATGATAGGATCAGGATTACAAAAAACAGATCTTTCAAAGATCATCTTTGACTTTCAGAAAAGAAAAAAGAAACCAACCCTTAATCTGCCATCTACATCAGCAGCGCCACCTTCAGCAATACGTAACACAAATAATGGCATATTATTAAATTCTCTACCTCCACGAATTGAAAACCCAAAACCACGGGAGCCACGGTCTAATTCTACATGATATATACTACTTTTTACATTCTATAATAAAACAAAGGGTCAAATTGAGGAAGAGAAATAATAAAATAAACATTATCTGCCTCATTAATCCCGAACCAATGTTGCGTTTTGGATCGTCTGGACCTATTTGAATCTTTCATCCTTCCCAAAGGAAAAATAAGAAAAATATTGCTAGATTTCTAGATTGTAAGGATTTCAAAATAAGATGGTTTATTTTAATACTATGTGTAAGGGTTTAGGAGATATAAAATTTGTGCAAATACCAGAATATTCCTAAAATTTGAATTATTCAAATGAAATAAACAAGAAATATTTACACTTATTAACAATCAATCCAATAAAAATATTTGGCCTAAAAATAATTTACAGAAAGAAGTTTTTACAAGCAAATATATTTGTCTGGTAACATATAAATTAGGCAACAATTGTGCTTAGATTTGCTGTTGGACTCAAGATTTGGCTTCTGTTGACACACATTTGACATTGTGACCATAGTGATTTTTTTATTACAACTACAAGATGACTCTTGTCTAAACATTGAACAATAAGTCTGAATAATGAACTATGAGTCTGAACAATGAACTATGAATCTGAATAATGAACCACAAGTCTGAACAAGGAACTACGAGTCTGAACAATGAACTATGATCTTGAACAATACAATAAAGTTAGTCTACACATCTGAACTATATTTTACCTGAGGTGTATTATTAAATCTTGCTCTATTAACTTCCTGTGCCGACATATATGATCTGTTATCCCAGCCTGGATGATTGTCAGGACGACGTGTCATATCACTCTCTGATACAGCTGGATATGCCATGGCATTAACCATAGAACCTTGTGAACTCTACAAAACATCAAAATAAGGATTTATAGATGATCTAACTATGATCTAACATAAAGATAATTCAATGCGAATATTGAATGAATTCATTTTATTTATTTTTAAATACTTACCCTTTGTGAAGCACTAGCTGTACTTGAAGAATCATCTGTAAAGAAATAAAGAATAGTTAACATATTTTTTGAAAACTTCCATTTCATTCTGACATGGAAAGAATTGTCTAGTCATTCAGATGGGACACTAAACCGAGGCCCAGTGTGCTATAGGCTGTGCATGTTAAAGATTCCTGAACAGATGGAAATCAAAAAAGATCAGGCAAAATTTCCCTCACTGCACCCTGCATGGCGTTGTCAGTCTTCATAAGCACATAGGGTGCAGAAACGTAGGATGTAAAACTCAATTCAGTTAATTTCATTTTAAATCAAATGAAGAATTAGATCATATTCTGAATATGATATGCGGCTATTAATTCAAAGTCAAAAGACAAATATAGTAAAATATATCATCAAAAATCTGGAAAAGAAATACGTTCAGCAGGTTAATTTTGTTTTCTAATTACCTGGAGGAGGTCCTATTGTCAAGGTAACGGAATAACCTGATTCTTTTATTAAATTAACAATATCTTCATGATGTATCTGAGAAATGTTAACACCATTGACTGCTAGAATACGATCACCAACATGTAGACGACTACATCTTTCTGCTGGACTGTTCTCTAATATACGACCTGAAAATAGACACAAGCATCCAGACAATGAATAATTAGTAGACTTGATTGTCAATAATTCACATGAAAGATGAAGATTAAGTTTGTGCTAGACAGAGTAAGCTTAGTTTTAAGCTGGTGATTTAAAGCCAGAAAAAGACAAAACTTAAGCAAAGATGAAGGTTAGATAAGCTAAAGATAGGTAGAAATAGAAAACATCATTTGAAGATAGATTGAAACATTATACATGACAGAAAAGTATACAAAGCCTTTTTTTGTCAGGTTTTATGAAAATACTATGGAATACTCAACGAAAAACCTTAAAAATTGTAAAAATATTTGTGGAATATGTTGAAAATATTCAAGCTACATGCAAAAATAAGATAAAGCAAGCATACACATTTAGAATAATTTGTTAGTTATTTAATTTTACAAGGAATTTTAGTCCATTTGGTTTGAATGGAGAGATGTGATGAGATAGTAAGCAAGCATAAACGTCCAATTTGTATCTTAATTATATATATAACATGTAATTCAGTGATATGATAAAAAGTCATGTGAAATATAATATAATATGTGAAACTATTTAGTTCTTCTGGACAACAATTTTTGTGATGGAAATTTTCGTATCATCTAAGCAAGGCAAAATAAACATATTTGAAGGAAATCTAAAATTTTGTTGCATAAAGCAAAAACAAAAGGTAACATCATTGGGAATTCGTAAATCTATGTTGATAATATTCTCACCTATCCAAGGGATGTCATCCCAATCTAAATAGAAATGTAAATACCACAATGAGAAAGATAGAAAAAGATCAGCTGCTACTTCAAGGGAGTTAATCCAATGATAATGTTCCAGCCCACAATCATGCCATCACCACATAAGCTTATGACAGTGTGATGAACAAAGTAAATGTCACATAGATAAATACTTACTGTGTTTCTAGCCACCCCTAGATATTCTCTACAATATATCTTAATGATAACATAACCTGTTGGTGAATATTTGGGGAAATTTTAATCTAGATTTACCAACAGAGACGACAATCCATGATTGGCTGCACTGGCAGACATTGACACATTTCTTTAAAATAATTCATCAGGCTTTGACACACACCATCAGCAGTGTTTGCACAGTGTTCGCGCATTGCGATCATACGAATGGAAATCACATGGTGCAGATATTTTAGAACTTTCTGTAAAACATTGCATGGACTCTTCACACACTCTTCACCCAAGTCCACAGAGACTTTAATCATTGGCACTGAAGTGTTTAGCACATGAAAATGTTCCTGAGTTAGAGTGGCTTTAGAATATCAAGATCATATTCGATCTCTGTCCACAATATATGAGTTTTTCTTTTACCCAAAATATATTCATCCAACAAGTTATGTACACAATAATTTCACTGAAAACATGAATATTATGAAAGATATTAACAATGTAAAATACAACACTGTAAAATCTGGCTCTATGTCAACTTTCAAATATCTGAAAACTAAGAAAACCTCACTTTAAACTGCTGCTTATAAAAATTACTGGGGAGACAAATCTGTCATATGTGAAAAATAAAAAAATGTTTTGGATAACTAACATCAAAATATATATAGAAATGAGATGCTAATTTGTAAGTTATCGAAAAAAATTTGATTAGACTCAATAGTACCAATATTTTTCAAAATTTGAATAGTTTTGCAACCTGTCATTTTCAAATTTTAATAGATTTGTGATGCGTGATTTTCTAATGACATTTTTCAAAATATGAATAGTTCTGTGTTATTTTCAATTATAACATTATATAATTCATAAGTCATGTCAACCAGTTGTGCATGAAATTCCCTAATAATCTAAATTAGACTGAAACCACTAATAACTTGTCTAGCTATAAGAAAATGTGTTAAAGATGTAATTGAAGATAATAGTATACTATTTCTGTCATTATTTATATAAAACTCTAAGTTATTTCTAACTGTTTATTTTCTTTAGGTATCTCTTACTTTACTTACAGTATCAACTTCTAGACCATTTCAACACACCCTTACTGATTATAGTACCAACCTACTAAACCTACTATATAGACTGAAAACCTATTGACAAATTAGGTCTTAGGTATTCAACACTTAACACAACCAAATTTAAATTTACTTTGAATGACTAAGTTAATATTTTTGGATTATATGCAAATATTCTAGACTTTCTTTTTGTAGCATTGAATCTTATATCTTAAATAAACAAGAAAATATATTTTTACCTTAAAGAAGACAGGGTGAAATTGGACATCAATCAAAATTGAAATATTTTTTTGTTAATAAAATGTTAAAATTCATTAAAATCTTTGTTGAATTGAATAAGCCTATTATTTTTCTCTTTTCTATATGAAAGTAGTACCAAGAGTTATCAAAATATTTTTATAAGAGACTTGTTAAAGTATAGTTCCTCTTAGTTCTCTTCTAAACAGAGGTCATGCGTAAACACCAAACCTCATGCGTTTAGTTTAAAACCAACAAAAAATATAAATAGAAACATTCGACACGTACCAATAAACTCACCTATGGTAGACCCTGATTTCGTGACCGACGAGATTATTACAAACCCGAATCCTTCGTTTTCACGACGTGTTACTGTGACATCATAAGGGTAGGTCTGTCCACCAGTAGTATGGGTTGTAATATCTGAAATAATAGAGCAAGATATATGAATCTGTTTATATAATTATATAGTAAGATTTAATTTGTATAGTCAAAAAAAGAAGTTGATATTCTGTTGTCTTGCTTTTGTCAGTAAATCAAATTGATATGATAATTTTTATGAGGATTGGCATAAGAAAAGAGAAATGATAATCTCAGTATAATAATCACTGCAAACTTTCCAATTCACATACTGTGATAAAAGAATCAGTAAAGTAAACTGTTTTCATGGACAAATCTTACAACAACCACAATGTAACTGTAGATCATTTCATCAGTTATTGCTGGAGAACCTAATGGATTAAAACCATATATAAAATTTTCCTCTTGGACAGCCCTATAATTGGTAGGCAATGACCTTGAACCTTACCTGGTCCTGTCCCTGTTAATCTACGTCTGACTGTGATGGTCACATGACCATTAAGAGAGGCGTGACCCATTAACTGTACCACTCGATGATGAGTCGAATTAATAACACAGTTCTGGTCTACAAATATTATTTCATCCCCCTGACATAACTTTCCTTCTTGATCTGCAGCTCCCCCTGGAACAATATGGCCGACTGATACCTGCAATCAAACGAAACTGATTAAGGAATAAAAACTAAATTTGACAGTTTGACAAATACTCCTCAAGCTAAAGTTTTAGTGATGAATACCCATTTAAATAGCTGAACCATTTTATGAATATTTCAAAATAATTGAAGCTTTTCACAAGAATGGCATCAAATTGGCCTCAAATCAAATATAAAGCCACAGTCACCTAGATAGACAAACTATTCAAATAGTCGATTTGGCAACAATGTCTCTTATTTTTTCCAAAATATTAAAAAACAAGAACTTCGATTTCTGAAGTTGTGAAGTTCAGAGAGTCTAAATAAATCATCTAGATTCTAGTCTAAATACTAGATGAAAGATATAGAGGGTTTTTATTCTTCATTCTAACATTTTATTTCCGTTAACATTTCTAGATAAAGATAAAATCTACAGGTTTGGCAACTTGTCAGTTATTATACCTTGAAGGCTTAACATAATATCTTATAGAATCTCTATGAGAAAACAGACTAGTACCTATCAAACCATTCTGGATTGGTAATTGCAAAAATATTCTAAATTGGAACAGATATCTGAGACTAAAAAAAACTCAAGAATGCTTATATCAAGTCCCAACCAGATTTACAAGTAAGCAAACTGACAGTCAGCACTCAGCTTTAAACAAATTTGAATTGCTAGCAGCAAAATATCTTAACTCAAGATGAAACCATAATATGCCATTAGGACCCTTGACTATTGCTTTTAATCTTCAAAGCTAAACATTTTGGTAAATAAATTTTAATGTAATGTGATTCTATGAAAAATCTACAAAATGTCCAAGAGGTCAATTCTCAAGCTTTTTTTTCAATTGTTTTTGGACTGCCTTTCGAATTGTGGTGTAATGGTATTAAATGGTTTTCTATTTAAAGATTTAGTAATTGCGAATTGGAGAGGGTTAATAAGGCCAAATTGACCCTGTCAATACTGGTTGATGGTAATATCTCAAGAAGTTTGGCACGTTGTCAGGTAGTTTAGCCTCAAGACAAGCTATAATAGAATTCAGGTAGTTAGAATTCTCAGGTGTGAACTTAAAACTCAGGTTATTTTTCAAAGTGAATAAATCTTTCAACAAATAATATAGTTAACTCAATATAACTTTCAAATTTATTACATTTTCTGTTTATATCTTCATGGTAAAACAGTAAATTTTGGTGCCAACATAAGTATTTTATTGAGGGGTGTATCTGTAAGCCTGAAATTTGAGGGGGCAAAAATGAGAGGTTTCTCTACGAGGTGATGCCAGAAGTGCCAAAACCCTTACAAGAAGCCCCCAATGCCAACGGATTTCAGATGACCAGAGATGAATTTTTGTGATTTAATTTTCTCTTTAAAAAAAAGACCTTTCGGGGGTGGCGACATGGCCCAATGGCCCTCCCTCTAAATACATTACTGGATGTTACTTGATCACTGGTGATACGATAATTGTAAAAACCATGTTTTGAAGTGGAAGTTAGATTGTGACCTTACCTGAGAGCCTTCTTCTGTTCCTCCAATAATCCTAAATCCAAACCCAGATTCATGACGTGGCAGGTGAACTGTCATTTCTAAATATTGTTGTCCTTCTTGATCAGGAACTCTTGGCACTTGACCTTGACCTCTAGGAGATCCACCCATAGTGTTTATTTGACTTCCCGAATGAAACGGGTAACGTTTTGGCACATTTCGTAAATTACTGGGTGAGGGGTCTTCTGCTTCAAACGATGTACTTTGCCTTGGTCCACGACCAGGGGCAGGGGAACTATTTCCTACAGTTTGAAAAGATCGTGAAAAGTCGTTTCCATAGCTACGGTTATGAGAGTCTGGATGATCATGATTAAATCTACGCGAAACATTAGGAGAATCTCCTGGCCAGTTTGATCGATTAGGATTATAATCATGTCTGTATTGTTGACCATATTCCCATGCTGGGTTGGGTGTAAATCGTCCACTGGGTTTAAAATTTGAATGATTATGTAATGAAGGGTTGGGAGTTTTACTTCTCATGTCATTGGCAGTAGGTGTTTTAGGACGAGTCGGCTCTGGCCTATAGTCTGGTCCATAACCACGATTTAACATATCAGGACCCGGTGTCCGACTGCGGAATTGTCCTGGTTTCACATTTTCCATATCCCGACGATCACCATTTTGTTGCATAGCATAATTTGATCTGGCGTGTCCGTACATATCATTTCGATAATCATGACGGTTTGGATGTGTTCCGTAATCATTGTGTCGGAAATGATCTGGTCTAGGACCTGGTGGAGGACGAGTATTTGTTTCGTAATTTCCAGAATTCTGAAATTCTGGTCGGGAATGATTGTAATCATGAGTTAAGTCCTGATGAACGTCACCATTGTAACGATTTTGCATATCACTAAAAACTGGACGAGCAGCCACAGGAGGTTTGCGCATATCTCCCATTGTACCATGTAGTCTGGTTGGAGTTTTAGGACGACTATCATTCATGATAGGGGTTTTAGGACGACTCTCGTTCATGGTTGGAGTTTTGGGTCGATTCAGATCATTTGGTGTCCGACTTCTCATACTGCCATCCACTTCGTCAGGAGATTCTGAAACCGTCGAAAAACAAAAATGTTTAAGGACCTGCATTTTCACTCAAGATATATCCAAATGCTTCAATAAATGAGATTAAAAAATCTTTAGATCACATTTTAGTTATTTAGTATAAGCACATGTACATTATAAAACATCAAACAGTTAAAGAGCTACTTCCAATATTTAACATTGTTTTCACACAAATCTTAAAACCTTTCATCCAGAATTAAGTTTTTTTCAGTATTTTGAGTTTTTAATCTTTTAAACATTTTCACCCCATTTCTTTGGTCTAACCTTTATTTGTTAAATAAAGAGTTTGGTTCCACATTCCATTTCACTTTTCTTTAAAGATCCCATACTTATTCTAACAAAAGATATAACATAGTTATATTCCTGTTTACTCCCAAATTCTTGCCCTTGTAATGGTGAGATTGGCACAATTTGTGGTTCATTCCAACAGAAAACTAAACAACTCATATACAATTCACAATCTGATGAACAATATTAACATGTATATTTTACATTGTCAAAACCTGTATTTCTAGACACAAGCTGTCTTGATGATAAAGTACACCAACACTTTTAATATATCCCTCTACAACTACCAACAATGAGTTGCAACTACAATTCAAGACCTGTCTACCTGATCAAAACATGTTATACTGATAAACCACGGTAAATTAAGTTTATCTTTTATAGCAAAAACAAAAGATCAGTATATTTAAACCTCTTGTTTGATAGAATCATGGTACAGTCTGTCATCTTGAATTCATGAAGATAGAATTTCAATCAAATGTTAAAATATCCCAAACATATTGTTGTCTTTTTTTCAGAACTGGTATTTTTGTTCTGGATTTGATGTGTCAACCCCTACACTGTCATTCTACAACATTAAGCAAAGTAAGGAACATTTTAAGTTTTGGAGTTTCACCATAACTTAGTTCATTAAAGACAGCAATCAATATAAATATCTGATACAGTTGGCAAAAGGACCAATTCTACATCTTTCAGCCAAATGAAGGTAAAGCCAACAAGTACCATCTGTTTAAGTCCAGACAAGATTATTAGTTAAATTATCAGAAAGAAGGTAAATAGATCACAATGGGTGATTGTTGATTTTACCTCTAGTTAACACCTGTAATAACTTTACTTTTACCTGTAATTATACTACAACAATATCTAGTCAACTACAACAACATTTCACACCTAACTTTACACTACAACAACCAGTCAACCACAACAACATTTCACACCTAACTTTACACTACAACAACCAGTCAACTACAACAACATTTCACAACTAACTTTACACTACAACTACAACAACATTTCACAACTAACTTTACACTACAACAATATCTGGTCAACTACAACTAACTTTACACTACAACAACCAGTCAACTACAACAACATTTCACACCTAACTTTACACTACAACAACCAGTCAACTACAACAACATTTCACAACTAACTTTACACTACAACTACAACAAAATTTCACAACTAAC